AAAAACAAAAACAGAATCTGGGAGGATAAAGTTAATGTAACAAAAGCCATAAATTCACATTTGACTTCTTCAGTTCTTCCATTCTTTAAAAGACAAAAAAGCAGCAATTATAATTATATTGGTGAGTTTAGTGTTTCTACCACATGAAATAAGGAAACAATAAACTATATTAGAGTAAGATTTCCATAGCACTGGAGCTAAATTAGTAACTCCCACTCTGGTGAGGGAAGATGTGCATGGTAAGCTCTAGAATGACTAAGAAGGAAATCAGCTTTTAGAAAGTGAAAAAGTATCACTAAAGAAATTTTGATGCTATATCATGGTCATTGGGTGCAAAAGAAAGTCATAAAAGCGAGCTAGAAGAACAAAGTTAGAAAACAAAATATGGCAGACAAATCTAATTACGTAATAACCATGTTAACTATGATGGGATTAACCAATCAAGATGCACACATTGTCACACTAGATTTTCTTTCTTTTTAAAGAAACAAGATCCAATAAAATGTTTCTAGAGGAGACACTCCTTAGACTTACTGGCACTGCTTGTAGAAACATCAACCCGTATAAAGGCTACCAGTACCAACATCAGGCAAAAGAAACTTCAAAGTAAAATCGTTACTAGTGAAATACAGAGTTCTAGTTTCATTCTGTGGCTATCATTAAAATTCTCTGGCCAAAAGTAATCTAGGGGAAGAAAGGATTTACTTGGGTGATACTTCCAGGTCACAATCAATCATTAAGGGACGTCAGGGCAAGAACTCAAGCATGAACTCAAAGACAGGCCTGCCTCTAGCCAGGAAACTCACTCCCAGCCAAGTACATCAGAAACCATGGAGGAATACTCCTTGCTGGCATGATCATTGGCTCATGCTTAGCTAGCTTTCCTGGAGTTCAGGGCTGCCTGCCCAGGGAATGGTGCTGCCAGCAGTGGGTTGGCCCTCCTACCTGAATTAACAACCATGGCATGCCCACAAGTCAGTCCAATCTGGGAAATGCTGTGATTGAGACTCCTTTCTCTGATAACTATAGGCTATATCAAGTTGACAGTTATAGCTAACTAGGATACACTGGTACATTTTTATAATGATAAAAGGATTGAATTGTTATGCAGAGATAAGGCTGGCAAGTATCTCCACATTAAAAACAGAGAATCAAATACTGCATTATGGTAAAAATAAATGAAAAGGAAAAGGCACCTCAACAACAGCTGAAATCTTAGAGAACTGACTTTCTTTTTTGTTGGCTTGAGACCAGGTCTTCTGTAGCTCAGGCTGACCCCAAGCTCACCAAGTAGCAGGGGATGACCTGGACACATGCCTCCATTGCTCAAGCACTGGGATCATCGGTGTGAACTACTCTATCTGGTTCTAAGATTCAATTGTCTTTCCTTCTTACATGTCTTCCTTACTTTATTTTACTTTGTGTGTGTGTGTGTGTGTGGCAGCCTCATACATGCTAAGCAAATGTTCTACCACTGAGCTATAGTATAGCTAATTGTTAATTAGACATTTGGTTTGAGATTAAACATAAATAATTATCTACTTATTTCATTTCATAATAATTTTATGCCATGAGAACTTTTCTTATGTTACTGATTTGTAAGATCAGTAAAGTTAAAAAAAAACTTAGTCATGCACAGTTACATAGTAAATGATGAGGCTGAAGTCTGTCTTGAATGCCATGTTCTCAACACTGCTCTTGCTATTGCCTCATTAGTTATATAGACAGCACAGAGCTGATATAAGCTAGACACCTTGTAACAAGGATAAAATGCTTACTGAAACTAAAATTAAGTAAAAATTACTGTTAGATGAGAAAGCAAACCATCACAATGTATATATGCTCTATTCTGAGGGTACAAAAAGACTAGTACTAAATTTTCACCGCCTTCATGCATCTAGAATCTGCTCTTCTTTTCTTACCTTGCTGTTAACTACTAAGGGCAACAGAAGCACTATCCTGTAGCTAGAGTTTTCCCCAGTCCTGCTTGGCCCATGGTCAGGACAAATCTCTCTCACCCACCAGGCCTGCAGCTGTTCAAACCCAACCAAGTAAACACACAGAAACTTATATTACTTATAAACTGTATGGCTGTGGCAGGCTCCTTGCTAACTGTTCTTATATCTTACTGTAGCTCTATAGTAGAGCTTGAAGTCAGGGATTGTGATGCCTCCAGAGGTTGTTTTATTGTACAGGATTCTTTTGGCTATCCTGGGTTTTTTGTTTTTCCATATGAAGTTGAGTATTATTCTTTCCAGGTCTGTGAAGAAAAAAATATGGAACGCTTCACGAATTTGTGTGTCATCCTTGCACAGGGGCCATGCTAATCTTCTCTGTATCGTTCCAATTTTAGTATATGTGCTGCCTAAGAGAGCACCTGTTCTTATATCTTAAATCAATCCATTTCTATTGATCTAAAAGTTGCCACGTGGCACATGGCTTACCAGTACCTTAACATCTTCACATGGCGGTGGCTGGCAGCAGAAGGATAGAAGTCCAAATTCTACCAGCTCTCTTTATAGCTTTATCCCCACACCTTTAACACCTTCCATCTCTCTCACTCCGTTTTTTGAGACAGGATCTCTCTACATAGTCCTGAAATTATGTAAACCAGGGTAGCCTCAAACTCATAGATACCTGCCTGCCTCTGCCTCCTGAGTGCTGGTATTAAAGGCGTGTGTCATCATGCCCTAGCTTCTGCCAAAACTTCATCTTCACTATCCTTAGCAAATAATTAAACCAAATTTATAATATAATTCTATTTTGAAAAACATAATATACATATGCCTAAGTCTGAGAAAGGATATTCCTAAACATGAATGATGATGGGTAAAAAGAATACAATTAATTTTTTCTTAATGTAAAAACATAATTTCTAATTCCAATATTTGTTACACCAAAACAAGAAAAGCCATCAAACCCCTTACATCTAGTGTGGCAATAGAGTAACAGGCCCCCAGACCTTAGCACAACTGATGTCATGTTGGCGGCACCATTCTGACCTTAGAACTTAGCATACAGGTCCCAAAACCTGCCAAAATGGGAACATCGACCTTATCCATCCAAGACCTGGTCCCTGGTTCCTGGACCTAGGAAAGTCCCTAAATGTCCTTACCTTGTTTTTTGGCTTCTGTAGTTTTCCTCCCTTACTGTTAATGCTAATCAAAGTGTGTCAACAAGGATGTGGTTTTTGTACATAAAGGACAAAATAAATAAAGGAAGGAAGGAAGGAAGGAAGGAAGGAAGGAAGGAAGGAAGGAAGGAAGAAAGGAAGAAAGGAAGAAAGAAAGAAAGAAAG